GGCCCGCAGCCAGCGCTCCTCGGAGGCTGGGGTGCTCCAGCCGGAGGGGGCGCCGCGGAGGGGAGCGGCGGGGAGGATCCCGGGCGCGCTGGTTCCCACCGGCCGAGCTGCAGAGAGAGGGGCGTTGTGCTGAGTCAGCGGCTGGCGGCCCCGCCGCTGGGGCTCCCTGGCCTCCGGGCCGCCAGATGACACGCGGCCAGGAGGGCCCCCGGGAGCCCCACTGTTATCGATGACGCGGCCGCTGCTGCCACAGCGGCGGGAACCGTGCCCGAGCAAGCCTGTTCCCGGCCAGGCCTCCCGGGGCTCCGGGTGGGGAGGATTTCAGGAGCGGCCTCCTTCGGGCCAGGTCCTCGCCAGGGCTGCCTCTGCCCTCCCCGTCTCCGGACCCGTCCCCTAATGATGCTCATTACTCCTCTCACACAAAGTAAAACAAGCTTTACTTATAAACTGCTTTGCAGCCATTTAATCCTTCCAAAACCCCAGTGAGGTAGTTTATGAGGCAGGGCCCCACGGGAAACAAACAGCTCTCTCAGAAGGGACCGCTGGGGAGAGGTTAGTGCGGGGCTGTTTACATGTGGGGGCGGGGCGGGGACCGAGGGAAAGCAGTAAAGGATGGTGAGAGCCCTCGAGGCCAGCCACGGCAGAAAGCCTTTACCAGCCCCACACGCCGAGGGGGCGGGAGGGAAGGAGACTGGAACCCAGGGGGTGCAGCCATGGGGGAGGGCTTGTTGCGGGAGCCGGTGACCAAGGAGCTGAGGGAGCCCATCACTGAGCCTCCAGGTGGCAGAGAGCTGCTGGGGATAAATCCCACCCGCTTTCTCCTCCAGTCCTCCGGTCTCTGTCTCCCTGTGGCCAAATTCTACTGGAAGCCAGAGAACCAAAGAGCCAGTTGACAGGACTCATGCTCCTTCACTTCAGCCTCCCAGGCACAGGCAGGTAGAGAAGGGTGGGAGGGGAGTCTCCAGGGCAAGCGGAGTCCAGCAGGGCGGAGGTGACCGTAAGCCCCTGGTACTTGAGAGAGAAACAGGGAACTTACACCTGAGGTGGCAGAACGGTAATGGTCCATTCTGGGATTCTGACTCAGGTCCAGCTCCAAAGCCCTGGTCCCTTCCACTGTATTGAACCAGCTTTCCACTTGCTTCCATCACATTCCTGGAGACCTTGGTGCAGCCCAGCGCAGCCTGCACACGTTTTACCCTGAAGGTTAACGTGAGCTTTGCAGTTTGCTCCCCGGAGTGTATATTTTTTGAATTTTGAGTTGTTTAAAATATCACTTTAAAGGTACTTAATTTATTTGTATCTACCCCAGAACTTCAAGGAAAAAAAGGCCCTCCAGGAGGAGGTGCCCCACTTTTTCTACGGCCTCGGGTGCCCCAAGACGGGGCTGTGTACCCCACTCTGCGAAGCACAGGACCAGGTGTCCTTTAGGGAAAGAACTTACTGCCCAGCATCACACAACTGATGATCAGACTTAGAGTCGCTGTTCCCTGAGGGGCTGAGACAAAGGAAATCAGGCCAGAATGGAGCCCAGGAGACAGTCTCAAAAGGGGAAGGGGTGGTGGTCAGCCTGAGACGGGGGAGGGAGAGGAGATTTGAGTTCAATATTGTCAGATGTTCACTGGGTTCTCTGTCCCCGGCTCTGCGGACACTTGTGTCCTCAGGGAGCTCACAGGAGGAGACAGGCCTAGAAGTGGGTCCCCACCCGGCAAGGGGGAGGGAGCAAAAGGGCTTGGAGGCAGACAGGTGGGTTCACAGCCCAGCCCTGCCCTCTCTTGGCCGTGTGACCTTGGGCGAGTCGGATAACCTTCCTAGGTTTCTGCTCCCTCTTTTACAACTGGGCAAGCTCTGACCTGCCTCGTAAAGCTACTGGGAGGAAGCACGAGGTGATGCAGGCGGCACTTGCCCCGACAGCACATGTGAATTGGTCGTCGCCCTCTTATGATAATAAACTCAGGGATGTGGGGCTGTGCGCGCCATGGCTGAGTGGACAGCCACGCTCTCCCAAGCAAGAGCTGCACTTGTGATCCAACGATATCAGAAGAGGTTATCTTAAATCTCCCGGATGACCTGAACTCTGTGGTTTCTGTTGCCCTGGAACTGTGGGAGAGGTTTAACTCTGCCCAGGGTAGGGGCAGGGAAGGCTTCACAGAGGAGGTGCCGTTTGAGATGCACTGAGAGGATTTGTGAGGGTCGGCAGGCAGGCTGGGGGGAGGGTTGTCCCGGCAGAGGCACGTGGCATCTTGGGAAGGATCAGTGTTCTGGAGTGGCTGGAACAGAAGTGTGCTTGGGGAAGAAGAAATGGCTGGAATCAAATTGGGGCGGGGCCTCTAATAACAGAGGAAGGGGTTTGGACTTTACCCCAGGGGGCGCACCGAGCCATGGGAGGCTTTAAGCAGGGAGGTGGCAGGTGATGTGTTCACTCTAGTGATCGCTTTGTCAGCCAGCGAGGAGATCAGAGCTGATGGGAACATGGGAGGACCCCTAGAGGTGGTGACAG